GTTTCCAACTGCTTCTGGTGTGAAACAAGGGGCTGTGCTCTTTCCTACACTATTTGCACTATATATATATGATTTAATGTTCGAGGTCAGGCAAGCGGGTATAGAGGTCAGCCGCTCTGATCTCACAGTTGGTACCTTTATTTATGCAGATGGGGTAGTTCTGCTGGCAGACTCTGAACAGGATCTTATTTTAATAAGTATTGTACATGGTTGAGTAAATGGCAATTAAAGATAAAAGCCGGATTATGCATTTTAGAAAAAAGGGGAGACACAAAAGTAAGTTTGTGTTTCATAATGGTTCAGTTCCTTTGTCATATTGGTAGAGTTAAAAACATTCAGGTTTTTACCTAAGATGATCATCTTACTTTTGAAACAGGAATAAGTATCCTGTCAGACTCTGGGAGCTGTTCTGAAAAAGGTTATGGTTTATAAAGATCTTGGTTACAATACATACACACATCTGTGTAAATCTTGTGGCTTAAAATGACCCCTAAACTGTCAGTATGTGGTGATATGAGATGGGAGCCAGGTGAAGTTAAGACAAAGGATGACATGATGTGATTGTGGATTAAGTTCATCAGCACAATAGACTTATTAAACGACATTTTTATTGGGATTGCTTAGATAATCATTCACGTTATTGTCCAAGTTTGGTTTACAGTATATATTTAGAAATAAGTTGCCTTGGTTTTGCTCACGGAAAAGGTCAGAAGAAATATTAAACAAACCAAACCCGAGCAACGTGTCACCCTTAACCTGAGCGGAGCTGGAGGTCAGTTAAGATCTGACATCCTGCCTTATGTTGTGGGAACTGGACTCTTCCATTCGGTCCCAGAGGGGGAAGAGGGTGAGATGAAATGCGTCACAGTCTGCTTGATATGGCAGATGAATGTAGAGTACAATACACGTTTACATACACTCAGCTGGCAGGTACACCCACACCCAGCTAAAACTAATACAGTCTATTGCTGTTAATAATCCTGCTCCATGAAGCTTTTAATGTTCAGTTTTTCGTGCTGAAACCAGTTCGGAGACGTGTTGATTCAGCTGTGTGATCATTTTGTAGGCTGCAGTCTGTGGTGCTGTCGAACTGATTTGCATTATACAAAGAGGTGTACCTGTTATTTAGTCTACCCTCACTGATATAACTGGTGTGGACAAAATAATAGAAACCCCTGTTTATTGCAGCACTGTTGTATTAGACTGTATTTGTTTTAGCTGTCCCTCATAAAACTGCCAACTGAGTGTTAATTAAAAACACGTTTACATATAACAAAGAAAACTGAGTTTAAATTACACTGTACATGTTAAAGTTGTATGTTCACTTTGTTCGGTTTATATTTGGTGTAATGTGTATGTATGTAGTAGCGAGTATTGGCTTCCTCTCTGGAGGTAATCTACGTGTGTTGTCAGCCCATGTGGGCTGGCGACTCCTATGACTCTTGCATATAAACATACAGTACGTATGCTCCACCCCCACCCATCCCCAACCCCACAAACCAAACTTCACCCTCGTGTATATCTGCCTGAATTTCATTAAACAAGAAACACTGTGCCAATCTGCGCATTGCTGTAGTCTGTGTTGGCTGATTTCCAGCACATACTGATGCAACTGTAGGTGTTCACTGTAGCTGCATTCTGTGTCACAATGTTTTACACATTACAAAGACTCCTGCCATATGGTGTTTGTCTAACTGGAAGGGGACGGTCGACATGATACCGATACAGTCGTACCTATTTTAATCTTCTGCAATAATTCAAGGTGACACAGAGACAGCTGTCATTTTAGCTGAGACCAAAACTGAGAGAAGATGAGACGGTAAGTTAGTGGTGATATGAAGGGACAATGTGAAACCCACTGGGAAATACTGGAACCGTCTGTTCTGAAGGATTTGTACTGAGCCAGGGTGTAAGAGACCATCTGAAGGCTGGTGTCAGATTTATGAAGTCCTGATCAAATGTAAGAAATGATGATGTTGCATTAATTCGTCCATAGAACACTATAACGCTCAAGGACAAGTCTAAGAAATGAAAGATGACTGAAAAATTACCTGCTTTCAAGGACTATAGATTGGAGGATTTCAGGGATAAAAAAAACACATCTCCAGACCAGCCACCAGCTGTTGGTTCTTTGTAAGAATACCTACAAAACAGACGATACTCCAGCATCAATCCACATTGATTTTTTTTTTTTTTTGTCACTAAAAATTTTGTGTGCTCAGCTCTTAAACTAATCCCCACCGCGTGTCACAAGTTAAACTTAAAAAAAAAAAAAATACAAATAAATCAAAAAAACAAGTAGTGAAACTCAAAGCCACTCAACTGAACACAGACATACTGTATGTGCGCTGAGAGATGTAACTCTTCCTGCAGCAAGACTCAGACAACAGCAAATACTGATCCCCAGAGGGCCGGCTGTGTCCATGCTCTGTTGGCCTGTTTGTTCACAGTACTTTTCTCTAATAGATAGTGGCAACACTGAGAAAGCCCTGATTTCTGAACCTTTTCACCCCGTGAATCCTCATGGAAAACTACTGCACCGAGTGGAACAGGGGGATAGCAATGTGAAGAAAACAACCCTGATTATAACCACAACCCAAGCAATAGTACCCACGGAAACGAGGCGTATCCACCTTGACGTTTTTCCTAGAAGACATTGGTCAGATAATATGTGATGGTATATAATCATACAATACACATTTCTGATGGAGACCTCACCACTGACATATTAACAAACCCATCACCAGACAAGTACATTGATGGCAGGTGATTCTGCAATATCTTGATTTTTTTCAGTCGTGTCTGTCAAAAAAAAAATCAGACATGCTACACCCTCAAACACCACCCTGACTTCCACGCCCTCACTTTTGAACTTGAACCATAGGACGGAAATCATGAGGTGTGGAAACGCTACTCCTAGAATACAGGGCTGAAAACCACATAAGTTAAGCTTTGATAACTTTACCGGAAAATCCGTTGACATTATTTTTTGTCAGACCAACAATCGAAAACCCAAATATTCACCTGACAATAATATAAAACACGGAAAAGCAGCTAATCCTTACTTTTAAAAAGCTGCAGCATTTTTGTTTGATAAATGTCTCAGGTGATTAACCCTTGTGTGGTGTTCGGGTCTGTGGGACCCGTTTTCTTTTTTTATTAAAAGAAATATTATATGATTAAGTATTTTTTCAAACCCAGACTCATTGGCCTTGGCTCATTTTCTGTGAAGAATATTCATCAGAACACATTTTCAATGACCACACATTGTACACCCCCCTACACATTTTATATTAACCATACAAGTATATGCTGTTTACTGTATATTGCTTGTAATTGGGATGAAGTAAACATCTGTTAAGTATTTTAACAGAAAATTGTTTGATTGTGTTGAATTAAACCCCAACAAATGCAGCGGGTCCACCAGACCCGCCAACACTGGCTGAGTAACAAAAATATGAACATCACACAAGGGTTAATTATGACATTGATTAACTGACTGATCATTCCATTGTTATTATATTTAGGTGCTTCAATTGTTAAACTGTATTCTGGTTATCGTTTGTTGTGTCTAGTTGTGTAAGCGTTTTCTTGTTACACTGTTTTTATCTTTATAAAAGGATTGGGAGTTGTACACAGCATTATGCTATTAATGCTAAAAATATAACACCGGTCAATGCAGTCGGATAAAAGAGGTAATGCATCATGTTGTGGGTAGCTCAGCCGACTGCAGTTTAGCAGCTACTGTCTGAGGATGAACCTCTAGGTGACGCTCTGATGACCTAATTGCCAGTTTGACTGACCGTTCCCATGTTGCCGTTTCTACTGTCCTGCACTCGGCCTTGACTCACCACTGTGCTTTTCCGGCCAAACATTCAAAACTCACCGCAGAAATCAGCAGAGCATCAGCTGAGGCAGCATGCCGTTGTAACAGTTCCCCCTTTGTCAGCCGAGCAGTCCGGCTCAATACTGATTAATGAGCTGGGGTCAGTCTCTCCCCTGGAGGAGGCCGCCATTATCTCCAATACAGAGCTTGTGGGAATATCATAATGGAGGTGAAGTCAGAGAAGGCAATCAGTGTTAATCCCGATGAAAGAGCACACACTTTGATCTAAGCCCACCTTCCCTTCGCTGTGCGTTTGTCCCTCTAGGGAAACTGGCAAATGCAGCGGAGACTTGTTCGACAGTGTTTAGTCTCTTTTCAAGGTTTGGGCTATCATTACGAGCTCATGAATAAAAAAAAATATCCTGTCGTTCCTGGACATATTGTGAGGTTGCGTTTTCACATTGATGCAGTGAATTGAATACCTGAATTTCCCCCATTGATTGCGCCATAGCAACGAAGTGAAGAAAAGACAATAATGTTGATTACAATGATAAAGATTCTGATGGTGTGTATTGGATAATCTGGTGCAGCAAGATTGTGTAAATGTTCACAGTGAAAACAACTAGTGATGAATCTGGATTGTTTTTATTTTGCAGCTCTGATGCCTTGTTAATAATCATATCTTTCCTCAGTGTGAGTTCAGTCAAGTCATTAAGCCAGCTGCAGCAACTCATTATGGTGTTTGTGGAAACCATTTGGGAAATAACTGCCTTTATAAGCACTAGTATGGTTTGTGGGATGTGTTTGTGGTTTTAACTTTGCCACTGAGCTGTTAAATCTTAGTAAAGTAAGTGTTATTTAAAGATCACAATACTGGTTTGGATGTAGTTTGACTATGAGAAGATGTATGCTCTCTCTTTTTCATAAATTGAATAATAAACCCCTGATTGGATGGAGCAAAAAAAGAGCATTGTGAAGATAGAAAGTAGGTCTATTATCAGCGCTGTTTTGGATTTTGCATTGTTCCTCCTCATCTCAGGTGGATTGAGAGGTAGAGCAGAGAGCACAGTGAAACAAAGGAGAGCCCAGAACTCATTAAACTGCAGCACTGAGTTTTCCTGCCTCCTTTTTTTTCTTGTTTAACAGCTTCCTTTCCCCTATTTATCTGTTGCAGGACTCAGATTCACTTCACAGTGGCCATTGATTTCACTGCATCAAACGGTGAGTGTTGCAACCACCGTCAGCCTGCTCTGCTTCCATCTGTCATCTGATGTATGACTATTGCATTTTCATTGTGTCAAAGAGGGGCCTGGATTTGTCTCCCTTCTTGTAATATTTTATATATATTTTATCATTTTTCTTTTAAATGTATTTTTATTGATGTTTTCACACAGTAAACAATGTCAAGTACATGTATGAGAGAGAGAGAGAGAGAGAGAGAGAGAGAGAGGACAGGGCAAAAGTGATTATAAACAGAATTTAGAAAAGGTAAACACAATCCCCAAAATTGTGTGTTTAAAGGTACAACACAAATTATTCATTGTTAAATAAGGTGGCACGTTCACATACAGATGTGCAAACGTGGAAATGCACCAAATAAATGGGTCTAACATAAACATCTGTCTCTATGCTCCCTCTCTACTCTCCTCCACTTAAGGACTTGTCCTATCAAATCAAAAGAAAACCCAAACCCAATGCTGCGTTCATGTGATGGCGGACTTATCGCAGTCACGAGTTTCTGACTCGTAAAGACTGTTCACGTAAACATGAGGTCTGACAGCGCAGATATATCCAACTTGGTGCTTCATAATACGGACGTGGCGACGCTTCATGTCAGCCAAAGTGCCACGCTCAGTCTAATTCCACTCCCATTTTCTGGATATCTTATATTGTCAGTGCACACTATAATAACCATTCCAACATAACGTGAACTTGGCACAAGATCCTACCCTGTCATGAAACCAAAACGACTAGAAACACATAGATCTATTTAGATATTTCCTGAATCTAATAGTTTGAGTGTTACTGATTTGTCTTCGTGCAAAGGGGAATGCTGGAGATTAATATCCATGAGACATACACGTCAAGTCACAGTAACTTCAAAATCATACACAGGGAAATATAAACATGTCCTGTTTTTCTCATTCAGTAGCCGTCATAACATTACTCAATTCCAGGATTGCTGATAAGTCACAGTCACATTGAGCCCCACCTCTGACTCAGAACATCCAATTTAGTCTGGGTTCACTCATGTTTCTCTGGCTGCGGCCGTCAGTTCAAGCCTCACTCTGATGGCTTGCATCACTGACTCTGACTGCTCTTGTCTTGAAAGGAAATCCATCCCAGTCCACTTCACTGCACTACATGAACCCATACCAGATGAATGCCTATGCCATGGCCCTGAAGGCTGTGGGAGAGATCATCCAGGACTATGACAGTGATAAGATGTTCCCTGCCCTGGGATTCGGTGCTAAGCTGCCCCCTGATGGGAGGGTCTCCCATGAGTTCCCTCTGGTGAGTAAATTATGAAGTTATTCAAGATGCTCTTGTAATAATTCTGCATCAGAATACTTGATCTGACTCGATGTGAAACTTATTTAGGCCCTCCCCGTGGAGCCTTTGAGTGTGAGCACATGCTCACTCCAGCATGTATGGGCAAGCATGTTTTCATGTGCAATATGGATGTGTGCATTTTTAGATGAATGCTGCCACACCTCTTACATGCATAATTCAGAGTGAATTCCATTTACCTTTTATAGTGCAAATTAGGTTGTGTAAGGCTGAAGGATTCTTAAATCAATTTGGCTTCTCTCAGCCAGCTAATGTGCTTTGGCTGCTGCATAGTACAGCCTAATGAGGAGTCTGTCTACAGGGTAACGTCTGCATCACTCCATATTTCCATTAGAATTTGCAAATTAAGATTCATCTCACCATATAATTGAAGCCTCATTCTTTCATGCTCTAGTCTTGTAAGTGGGTTTAAAAGAAAAGTTACAGTCTTGGTTGAAATATTTGTTATATAGGTTTGATTTGAAATTTGCCTTGTAGCTAAAGAAGCTAACCTTTGAAAAAAAGTTTGAAGAGCACATCTCTGGGAGAAAAGAATGCTTCCAAAAATGTCATTCGGCCCCGGAAGAGTAAATCTATTCTAGATTTTTTTTTTTTTTTTTTTTTCTGGAGGAGGAGAAGTATCTGTGGTACTTGAGGGCTCCTCCAGCTGCAACCTCACTGCTGCACTGGGTGTGGGAAGAGCATGTAGTCACCAGGAGTGTGTTCAGCTTAGCTTAGCTTTGATTGAAAGCAGTCTAAGCTAAATCTTGTCAAAGGCCAACAATAAAACACACTTTTATTTACGTACTTTGTGCTATGTATTATGTATATATATGTATATATATTTGTATATACAATTATATAATACACAATATATAATATATGATTATATAATTTTATAGAATCATAAAAAAGAGACATTGTGTTTGCCTTCTATGTTTTTGTTTGTCTTTAGCATAGCCAGGTGCTGCATCTTCTAATATGTTGTTTAGTATAAACCTCAGTTCTAATCAGACCTCTTACCCCTTCATATTGACAGAATTTTACTGTAACATATGAATTGTAAAATGTAATATAGTTTCTTTCTGTATTTAAAAAAAATATATATATATGTATACCTGTCAAAAAACTAATTTTAATTGCATTGTGTTGCTTCTAGTATTACAGTTGTTCTATGTTTAAACTACAATAATGTGTAAATTCATTACTATTATATGATTCTTTTAACATATTCTTGTTTTAAAATTAAGTTATTTTTTGTTGCATTTTTTTTTCTTTTACAAAATATTACTGTAAATTAAACACTGCTTCATTGTTTTTCTATGTACACTTTTTTGATGTCATGATCTTACAACACTTCAAAGTTAATTTGACGGACATTTTTTCACAGTGTGAACAAAACTGAGGTGACAAATGTTTGACCTACTAACCTAGACAAACGTTACATGTGTAAATACCCAGGCAACGGCTTCTTGGCTGTGTTTTCACTCATTCACTACACACTGGGACAGACAATATACAGTGTGCATAAACAAACCCACCACTGTGGTTAGAGATGCAACAGACTTGACACTTTCAACCAGAGAGGGCAGTGAAGCACTGCGCTTCAGCCTCTTATTAAAGCTGCAATATGCACGATCTGGAAATCAAGCTAGAAACTGGAGAGCAAACCACTCACATCATTCCTCCCACTCCCCCCTCCCTCCCTCTGCCCAGCCCCTCACCTACAACGGGACCTTGCTATCCTGTGAGTCAGTCATAGCGACATCTTCCAGAAGCTAATACTAGCTTGAAGCCTCCAAAAGAATGTTAAATGTTTCTCGATAACTGGATGAGTAAATAAGCAGCTGTTCACCTTATCAACTTAAAAGGTGATGATATGTCGGTGTTGTGCCCATAACTTGTTTCCACTGCCGGGAGGAGGCCAAGAAAATCTCTTATTGCAGGTTTAAGTCCTGAACACTGTGTAGTACAACTGAAACACTGCTGTTCACATCTATTAATAACAAACGCGTGAAACCCCATTGTAATCAATTCTATCTGCCCTATTTGTATTTTTTTTGTACCATTCATGTTTTGTTTTTCTCAGAACGGCAACACTGAGAACCCGTACTGCAACGGCATGGAGGGGATTCTCGAAGCTTACCATCAAAGCCTTAAGACGGTTCAGCTGTATGGACCCACCAACTTCGCCCCTGTTGTTAATCATGTGGCAAGGTACAAACACAAATATCTGTCCCACTGAACACATCACACCACAGTCGTCCTTTCATTCAAAGTCGATCTGTAAGTAATCTTCCGCGGGCAGATGTGCCATCAGAGATATTAAGACAGTGAGTGATGGTTCCTCTATGAATTGAGCAGACCTAATGAAGGGAAAATAAACAATCAGCTGTCAGGCTGAGATGAATAGAAATGGTAATAAGGCGTATGTTGTGTCAGGCGTAGTAGAGTGCAGGTGCTACATTGCTTTTCAGACGTCGAGTGAAAGTGGTAAGGTAAGATGGTGGGAGGCGGGCGAGTGCACGGGACTTGTAAATGGCTTCATGTCATGTAGCTTTTCAGATGTGTTGATGAGGCACTTTATTCAATAAATATGCATTACTGTGACTGCAGCACGATATGCTTTAATTCAAACATCATGTCATTGCCAATGGAATTAATGCACAAACTCAATTCATAGGATTTGCTATAAATGGGGCTGTACCACATTACGTACACAGCAGATGTGAGTGGTTTAAAATTGTCTCCTCAAGGTTGCAACAGGAGGCGTAGCAACATTTGAGACCCATACACGGTCCAGCCACGCACAAGGTTTATATCTAGTCTTGTTTGGAAAAAAAGTCTCTAAATCTAGCGACTAATGCAGTGAGTTGGCAACACCTTTCATTTTGAAAGAGCAGTGGCCAATGGGGAAACTCCAACTCAGCCACATGGCATTCGGCTGACCAATGGTGGAAATATGATCATTCAACCAGTCAATCAATCAGTCAGTCACGGGTATTTGCGATTATAGGGCTGACCGCGCTGTAGGTTATCAGTAACGCAGTATTGTGTCTGGTGCTGCAGCTGGCGCTCTGGTAACATGGTCAAATGTCTCCAGTGAGTGTGGCCCACACTGTTGCACGGCAGATGAGGAAGACAAACGTCTCTTTAATCTCCTAAACACTAGTCATCGCTCTTGCCGTTGTCACTGACTGGGCACGCTCTTTGATTAAAATGTCAGCACTTCACATTCAAATTTACCAAAGCGAGAGCGAGAGCGAGGGCGAGGGCTCACCTCCGACCTGTCCTTGGCTCTCACGGTGATCTGACATGTTTTTCCTATTTCTAGCTCATCAAGTCTGGTCAATTGAGTGCTGGAGAATCAATAATGTTCTTAAAGAATAAGACTGCAGCACTTTGCATAAACAGTTTAATAAATTATTCATAGACCAGCCAGCGATGGGAGATGGAACTAGGCCACACTCACTGTGGTGTCTCTGATGGGTTTCATAATAGTGTCTGGATAGACCTCTGAGACGCGAAGAGCTGTACAACATATTTTACTTCTTTACGTGTCTATATTAAGCTTTTGTGTCACACGCTGGGTGGAGGGGGAGTTTGTTTCTGAGCAACATGTTTTTTTAATGTTTTTTTTTTTTTATTTTCCTAAATCTCTGACACAGTGGTTGCTGCTTTTAAATTTTCTCTCTGGCTGTTCAAACCAATCTCAGAGTTTCATGTAAATCCATGAACATGTAGTCTGCATCGGTTTTCAACTTAGCTTTAACATCGTCAGTGTGGTTCTGTGTTAAACCGCTGTGTGCTGATGACTCCTCTGTTTCAGGTATGCAGCAGCGGTTCAGGATGGATCTCAGTACTTTGTCCTGCTCATTATCACTGATGGCGTCATATCAGACATGGCTCAGACCAAGGAGGCCATAGTGAATGTAAGTGCATCTCTAACTCTAGCCGGTGGACGTTCACCCCCCTCTCTCTCTCTCTCTCTCTCTCTCTCTCTCTCTCTCTCTCTGTCGCTCTCTCCTCCTTCGCCTCTGTGAGGGCATTGGCATCACAGGTGCTTTTAGCTTACTGTGACACTGCTCTCAGGCTTTTTGTTACTTTGAGGGCTTTATAAGCCAGTAGCACTAGATTTGAGGATTTATGGGATGTTTTCTGCTCCACTTGTCTCAGCCCCTTTGCCTGGGTGCTCTGTTCGTCTATTATTTTTCCTTCTTATTGAGACCCTCGGGGCGGTTGAGGGCCTCAGCTGAAATTCAGTTTGAGGTCAACAGGTCCACTTTATCAAAAGCAGGGGCCTGATCCGGTTGACCATGTGAGGCATCTGATTGGTCAAATCTTTAAGAATTGACTGTGTTTGTCTTGCCTTTGTTGCAATTCTGCCTATTTTCTTTCTCATGAAAAGTTTTGTAGTTGGAATACGTCCACAGCAGTAAGGCTGGCACTCTCTGCGAGTCATCGTCGACCAGGTACACGGTGCTCTGACCCCCAGCAGACTGGGTTTAAAGGGAATTTGCGACTGTTAATCAAACCATTCGAACAGCCACACCTTCCTTTTAAGATCTTGTCTGCTGCTCTGCGCTGCTTGGGCCGAACCTGCTGTGTCCTGCTGCCACCTCTCACCTCTCAGTTTGGACCTGGCTACTGTTTTCACAGAGCAAAGGACCCAGTGACCTGTTTCACTTGGCATTTAGCCTTCGCCCTGCGGGGATGAATCATGATGGAAGAGTTACATGCAACACTCATCTCTGCACTTTTGCTTTCTTGTTTGTGCTCTCTGATGCTGTGATGTATTTTTAGAGGTGTTTTTTTTTTAAAGATTGCAGATAGCACATCGCGCATGGCAGCAGTAATGTTATAAATACTGCTGCTGGCCAAACTGCACTGTAATGTTTATTCTGATTTCCTTGTTCCCTAAACCAGCACAGATTAGCCCTCACTGACTAGTATGGCCACACATTTAACAGCACAGCCTCTGGGGTAAATACAAACTCCAGCTCTATCCTTTGATATTTGATAATGGGATTTTAAGAGATTAACTACATGTACTGAACATCTGGATGCTGAAGTGTTAGCATGATTTTAGTGCCAATCTTCCCTCTGCATAAGTCTGTATAGTCCTTAAATGTTCAACAAAATCTTATTATGAGAACAGGTATCTGCTGTCAGCCCATTTGTGTTTATTGTGGTTCTGTTCAGCGAGAGGAGGAAGGATGAGTTCAGACAGATTGATGGAGTAAGATCCCTTGAGTGACTTTACAGTACAGGTAAAGTAACAAATGGTGTAGACTGAATAATTCAGCTCTGGATACAGAATCTGATCTGGCATTTATAAGTAAATGCCTTTAGGGTCTTCTGCTGCTGGAAAGGGGCAAACAGAATGTATGTATTTTTGTGTAGCAAGCAAGAGGTTATGAGGAATGAGCCTGGTGGAGGGAAAGATAACATGGGAATAGAGATGGAGGGGGAATAATGATAGAGAACATGGAGAGGATGGTCCTCCTCACTCTGTTTAGTCCTATCTATGACAGGTCTCTTCCCTCGGGAGGTTTTTCCAGGAAAGCTGACCTACTTTTACCCCTGTAAATGCATTTCTACCACAAGCATATATCATTCATTCATGCCAGAGCTTTCACAGTCTCCACATCGGGACTGCGGTTTAAATTCGTGCAACGGAGTAACCGCCACACCACTAACTGTGAAAGATGAACCTTTATTAAAGCTTTATTATGTAGGTTTAGGTTTTGTTTAAAGTGGAGATGAATGGATCGGACATGTGGCTCTCCTGTCCGGACACTGACAGTATTTGGACCATTTCTATATACAAACATGATGGATAAATAATGTTAGACTGTGCGATGTGTAGGATGAAGTAGTCATGTTTTATGAACACAGCATTTGACTTTGTTCATGTTTGTGCATGTTTCTTAAATGCTTTTCTTCCGCTGCTCTTATTTATGAGCATAGAGCGCTAGAACATTGTGTAACCTCATGTACTCTAACTCATTTTGGATTCCACGTTTTAAAAGCAGCCTTTAAAATATATACACTGTATAGTAGTTAGCTAAAATATTCTGTTGGCATATGCTGGCTGTGTTAACAACCTTGGGGCCCTTGGGTTGAATAATGTATTTCATATTTTCTGTCAGTCTCTGGGAAACCCAAGCTATACAGAATAATGTGATGTGAAACACAGTGAAGAAACTGTTATGATGCTATGTATCATTTATGTTTATCTTATTTTATCCTGTTCATTATTGTTTCTGTCTCTGGCTTCTCTGGGGAACTGCACCTTCAGATTAATTCTGATGGAATGAGAAGCGAATTGGTGGGAAAAAAAACAAGAATAATTGGAAATGTAACCCCTCAGTTCTCTGATATCGACTCTGATGTCAGGCGTTTTTCAGCAAATAGAGTTTGTGCTCTTCCAGGTGTCTGAATGATAACTGACTGTTTGCTTTTCTTGTTCATGACAGGCAGCTAAACTCCCCATGTCTATCATCATTGTTGGAGTTGGTCAAGCTGAGTTTGATGGTGAGAACAGTAACTAAAGTTCTTTGGGGACTGATTTGCAAAAACAAAACAAAACAGTGGAAACCAGTTTGTTGTGTCTTTACGTCAGTGGTTTTGTGTTTTATTCAAACAAACCCAGGCTTGCCACACAGCTATAACAGCTATTCTAATCACAGTAGGAAAATATTTTTTACCCTGACTACTTTCTGTGTGTGCCATGTGGACACAAAGGCATACTAAAAACATCTTTTCTCTGTAGCCATGGTGGAGCTGGACGGTGACGACATCAGGATCTCCTCACGGGGGAAGTTGGCAGAGAGAGACATCGTGCAGGTGAGACGTCGCTAATGTTTGGTCTGACTCTTGGCTCATCATGGGACGGAAACGGCTCATTTCCCAAAGGCACAATGGTTGAAAAGTATCATTTCTGCTCCATTAGTGGACATGTCTCTAGATGGTAATGTTGTTTGTTTTCCAAAGCGGAATATGTTATCCTGAAATACGACATGGGTAGTCAAGGTCCTGAGAAAACCATTTCTAATCATTTTAGTGACCCCCCCCCCCCCCCCCGGTCTTTCATCTGGCGCTGCCACCGAGACAAAATCTTTACTTGTGCGCATGTAATATCAAAATCTAATCAGCACATTAACATTTACCAAGCACATTCATGCTCCCAGGAGGATGAACTCTCTACTATTGCTTCTTCTTCTGATCTATCTATCTATCTATCTATCTATCTATCTATCTATCTATCTATCTATCTATCTATCTATCTATCTATCTATCTATCTATCTATCTATCTATCTATCTATCAAGCGTTGTATTCACTACAATCCCCGCTCTCCGTCACAGTGAAAGAAACAACATACACAAGGTAATTGCACGGTAGTTGCCTCCTATTGAGTAATGCGGAAAGATGACATAGGAAGTTCTCATGTATGATGCGGAACATACATCTAGTGTAAAGGTGTGCCATTATTAGATGCCTCAAGTGTCAAATCATCTGCAAATGGTGGAGCACTAGAACTCACTAGAAGGACTTGAGACGAAATACCGATACACGACTGCATACATGATAGGTTCCCTTTCTTTCCCGTGTCACAACAGTTCGTCCCGTTCAGAGATTACATGGACCGCACAGGTAACCACGTGCTGAGCATGGCGAGGCTGGCTAAAGACGTACTGGCTGAGATCCCTGACCAGCTGATCTCCTACATGAAGAGCAGAGGCATTAAACCCAACCCCGTCCCACCAGCTTACTCGCCCGGGGACCGCCCCCAGTCCAACCCCGTCTGAACCCCCAACCCCTCCACACACCACCACCACCACCACCACCGCCGCCGCCGCCGCACAGCTCTACGTTGGGGTGGGGCAGGGTCAGGATTGATTGGAACCGGCCTCCACCAACCGTCCTTTTGAGGGGGAGAATGGGAACGCTCTCGAGGCTCTATCTTAAATATTAATCTGGCTTAAAAAAAAAAAAAAAAAAACGATGGTGAGACTCCATCTTGTTTTGGAGCTTTAAGACTGTTTAGGGGGAACCGGCTGATGATCAGGGAGTTTTTCCTCTCTTCAGCGCTGAGAGGAGCCCGGTGTAGAAGGAGGTTTTAGTTGTTCGCTGTCAAACCTGTCAAAGTGGTGATGTACTGGATAGCAAGTAAACCCCGTAGAGAGGGGCCTGTTTGAAGGCATAAATATATTAGAATGTGCCAGTGTGTATCATGTTTGTGATACCTTTTGGAGTTAATGTGTGTTAAACTAGAAGATCATGTGTATACTAATTTATTTATTTATTTATTTATTGCAGAAATAACTTATTCCTTTGAGGTGGTTTTAAAGGTTGGGGATTAAAGTCATATTTCCCCTGTAGTTTTCCATCTTATATTTTGTGACCAGTGTAATAAAAAAAAGTCCCCATTTCTACTTTGATAAGGTCTGTAATATAAGAGCATGTGATAAAACCTATTCAGCGGTTTATGAATCATTTTCACTGATGGATAATTTTTGATTGCAAGCTGTAATGTAGAGGACCTGCTGTGAGCTGCTGCCATACTAATTTTCCAGCACCATGTCTTATACGTATTTCTAATATTTATAGTAACAGAATGCACTAATTACTGTCCAAATAAAAAGCACAAAGGTTATGACGTTAATAAGCTGAAAACCACTATTTTGAAAGAACCTACAGCCACCACAATGAAAATAATGGAAAGGACCCCACATTATGTTTTCAACACGGCTTTTACATCGTCTTCCACCATCATTTTAAACAGGATGACATGAGTATATTTATAAATATAGTATCGGTGTTATACTGATGTAATAAAATGAAACTTTATGTTTACAGGAAAACAGATGAATAATTTAAAGCACGTACTTGCTTTCCCTGTTAGTACGCAGACAGGTAAACTACACCTCTTAAGTCATGCTGCCAAATCTCTCTTGTTTTATGTTTCTTTCCATTATATTTGTTGTGGTTACAGTTTATTGTCTGGGATTTTGCTCAGTACTTTTAAAGGACCCGACAAATAAACTTTTGAAAGACTGATGTCAACTAATACCCACTTTTTTTTTTTTTTTCTCCTTAAATTGATTTGTTTTCCCAGAATGAAAACTGAACAATCACAAATCTTGCAGCAGAGATATTTGAATGTTTTTTTTTAAGGTGATCTAAAGAAAGCAACAAGTTACTGCACAAAACGAGAACAGTTACGAGTCCATCTTTTCTGATCCAGTCGGTGTGTTACGTGCGCGTTTTGTGTCTAATGTGTTTTACTTTTTCATTTTCTCACCGAGTGTTCCCAGATAACATTGTTTTACACCAATGCACATCAGCCCATTTTCTAACAAAACATTGGAATGCCATTTTATTGCCTAAGACACAATTTCACAATGTTTATTTTACAAATTAATTCAAGTCGATATATTCACACATTCTTTTTAGTGACTGTATATAAGGTTTCTAAAGACAGTTACAGCCATTGTGTCCCAGTTGTGTGCATCCTGAGTTATCTATTTACTGTCTAATGGCCATTATTTTCACTAGTATCTCTCAGTCACTCAATATCTCGATCCAAATGTGCCTATTATATGGAAACATATCCAAATTCAGTTACCCAGGTGTTATTCTGCCAGCAGCAGCAGGTCTCATGTTTAAGATGTACACACAGAAAAAACGTTGGTGACGATCAAACTGTTGTAAGATTAGGACAATTACAGCCTCAGTGACTGATACGTGCGCTCTATCAGTGTTGTGTACTTTTTATACTTACAGCTCTTCACTAATGATCTTTGAAGTAATGAAAGTTAACAGTGTTGCTGAGCCTTGTACAATATTCAAAGTCAAGACTTGTTTACAATTCAACTGTGGCTATTTACATTGCCTCAAGGAAAAAGTAAACATTCATGGGTTTCATTAGGAAGTGAGTTTATTTTTGATCTGTTGTGTTATTGAGTCTTACTTTGTACCAACAGAGTTTCCTTGAATGACACTGGAGAGCTGACGTTTACAAAGATTTGTTGTGTTGTTCTCTGAGAATGTGAAGCTCTTGTTCCGCGCTGTTGTTATACTTTTTTGTTTACATGGTTCATGTTGCTTTATGGTCTTTGTAAGCCGTCCAGTGTTCTTTGACTCCCACTGCGTCAGCGCTCTCAGAGAGAAGATAGTCTAATGATGTAGCAAACACTCAGTCCGGAGGCAGTGAGCTCCTCCTGTCACAGGCCCAGCTCCTCCTTTCTTTTTTCTTCTGTTTTAATTTTTCATCAGTGATGACATTTGTCCCTCAGAAGACAAAGCAGCGTTCAATCTGCTGCCAAATTCTCTTCAGAAGTGAAATGAGGCCACTAAGTTTTTAGTGACATAACACTCATAAATACCAGTATACCTCTACAGAAAGCCATTCAAGCCAAAAAAGAAATATACTGAATACATTTGCTATTAAATATATTTAAATAAGTATTATGAATTAATAACTTAAATATCATTAGATTATAAATGTGATATATTTACTTTGCAAGTAATCTCTTAAAATTCTACTTGTCAAAGTAAGTTGTATTTTTTTTCACTTTTCATTTCAAAACAATAACAAAGTACTCATTACTCAGAAATTTAACTTAGGAATGTTTTTCCTCTGGCAGGCATGATGCCTCTCAGAAAGTCAGCATCAGCATCAGCATGCAGCTCATATACTGAGTGTGATTGCAACTGTCTGTGAGAAAAGAGGAAATGAAACCATGTGAAGTTCAGGTGGGGGTTTATGTTGTGTGCACATTTCAAACATATTTCATGTAATTAATACTAATCAGAAATCAGTTAAGGTAGGATTAAATGGCTGTTTGTCTGTTCTACTAAGATTACAACAAGCTGTACTTTTTTGGCCCTGAGGCCTGCTCCAAAAAAAAAAGGAAAAGAAAAAAAAACTCAAACTGCTACCCTCAGTAGTAAACACATGATCAATAGATATGAAATGAGCACAGTAATGACACTTATGCAATTGTGAAACATGAAATTATTACAAAATCTATTTTTCAGTCTAAAAGATGTCTTTCCAACAATACAATTATTTATTTTATCCTGGTGGAAATGGCTTTGATTGTCCTTTCATTTTGAATTTTCTTTGAGGCTGAACTCTAATTATGTACATAAGCCCCATATAAAGACTTTTCAGTGCCAAAATGTGTTCAGATGAACTTGGCCTCTAGACAATGTGCATGTTTGTGCCAAAATGGCAGGAAGTTTTGGTAGTCTGCCTTCATTTCACCTGATTAGTGCATCTGCCATGTGCTTCATTTGTTTCTTTGGATGTTATTTAGAGATAACAGCCACTTCTAGCATGTTGTATCTCTGGGTTCTTTCCATTCTGTTCCTACGAGACACATACTGTATGGGTTCTTCTTGCCACTACTCCTGTTTTATCCCAGGTTGTTTACATACCTCTCTTGGTCTCTGACTTGCATGCTGAATAATTTCCAAACCAGGTGTTGGACATGATATTGTCGTCATACTGTGGTTTGTGAAATGCTTTGTAATGGATTGCCTTAACTGAAGATTAATAAAATATTGACAACTTTGGCAGAATGCAAGATGGGTTTTTTGTGTGTTTGATCACAATGAGCTAAAAGCAAGTACGATGGAAGAGAAACTTACACTGAACCCCACAATAACTAAAAGCTCTGTTTTTAGTAGGCAGAGCTGACTGGTGAGGGTTAGGGAAACGGTTAGGTTCAGATTAATGATAGGAAACATTTACTTCATTTCCCCAGGAATCTACTTCCAACACTTCTAACACCAAATAGTGAACGTGTTAGCGACAGTTACAGAGCAACATATCATTTATTACAGTTGTGTTTCTGGCCACCTGATGAATATGAGTCCAACATTTACTCTCCTGTATGTTATTGTGGTCTCCGCCAACTCCCTGAGGTAAGGATTTGGAAATAAAAAAGTTGCCAGCTGTGCCTGTCTGCTGCGGTGAGAGTGAACTCAACCAGTAAAGCTGAGGACTGGGCAGATAAACAATGAGCTGAAACTGGTTATAAAGCTCTGTAAATTGCTTCGTGGAGCAGCTCATCAAACTGATATTTCTTATTTGTAGGTTCATCACTACAATGCAATTTTTTGCACCACACAAAATGGTGAATATATTTTTACTAAAATACAGTAATTTCAATATAGCTTTTCAATAATAGACACATGAATTTTCTGAATTGAGAACCATAAAATAATTGAAGTAATAAATGAAGTTTTTGAAATTGCACAAATTAAAATTGAGTATTGATTTTTTTTTTTTAGGAATTGAACCTTAAACCAAATAAATTCAGACAGGTGGTTGTCAAAGTCAAATATTTCAGTGCAATAAATTCAATGGTATTGATGGATCTGAATTTTTCAGTCATGATATCATTTCAACATGGTATTCAGTTGCTGATATAATTCAAATTATTGTGGCAATGAGCATACAAAACCAGATATACTGTATATTGTTGCTTTTTTTTTTAAATTCCATCTATACCTACTGCTTGTCAAAACTTGAGGGCCTACATTACCCACAATGCAACATGAGAGCCAACAGGTTTTTTCAGAGAGCCGTGGGCAGCAGAGGTGTGGGAAGGTCACTTCTTTCTAAGTTCACACCACCAGGTATTTTTCATTTTAAAATGTAGTCAAACCACTTAGCAGACTTCACACAGCTCCTCTGGAGACACTAAAGGCTTCAGACAACTTTTTTCCCATATATGCAGCGGTATTATAAGAACTGTAAACAGACTTTGATGTGTAAAATCAATGGAGTCCCCTT